TATGGAGTAGAACCACCACTCAGCGGAGCCCAGTCAGCCCACAGAATCACGAGACGCAACAAAATGGTGGTTTTAAGCTTTGAGATGGCTTGTACATAGCAACAGACAATCAAAACATAAACTGCAGAGTGAAAAAAGTTTCAATACTAATTATCATTTGTGTTGAAAAAATTGTAAAAACACACTTAACATGTGAATATAGCTGTCCATGCATAGAAAAAGGTTTATAAGGAAGTACATACAAAAATTGTATTGTGAGAGTGGGAATGTGTAGAGGGAAAGGAAAGAAGAAATAATAAATGTTCTCATTTTCTGGTCGTTATTAGTTTCTGACGAGTCCATCCCAGACTCATGGCCACCCTGTGCACAACGGAACCAAATGCTGCCCAGTCCTGCATCATCCCCACAAATGGCTGTGATACACAGGGTTTTCACTGGCTGATTTTCAGAAATAGATCACCAGATCTTTCTTCCTAGTCCGTCTTAGTCTGGAAGCTCTGCTGAAACCTGTTTAGCATCACAGCAACACAAACGCTGCCACAGACAGACGGGTGGCGGCTGAGTATAAGGTACACTGGCTGGGATTTGAACCCGGGTCTCCCACATGGAAGGTGAGAATTTTACCACTGAACCACCACTGCCTCTTTCATTTTTTACTTTATAAATTCTGTATTTTTTTCTTCAATGAGTATCTGAATACAAAAGTCAAACAATAACAATAAAAAAGCCAAGATGCAAGTAAGATATAAAAGGGTAACATTCACAAGTTTTGAAGCTCTATTTCCAGCATTTCCAGATTCAATCATAGAATTTTATGGCCACATTTTTTTAAAAAAAAGTCATTTTACTATATGAATATGTCAAGAAGTAGACAAAAAAAACTGGACCCATTCAAACATATTTCAAGGGTTCCTTTGGAACTGGGGATCCAAAAACAGGTGAGGAAGATTTCTGTCCTCAAAGAACACAAAGAAGACCCAGGTCCCCGCCTTGTGCCTTGGGCAGGTAACTGAGAGGGAGTAAGCATCCATGTATTTAATGGGTGATGTAGGGCAAGTTTCATATCTCCTCCACACCTCATGGGTTCATCTCTAAAGGGATAAATCATGGTGTCTGTCTACTAAGGCTGGTGTGAAAAGGAGTACCACAAGCATATACTTAATTAAAAGGGATTACTACGGTATTAACTGATCTTTTTAAGGAAAAAAAGTGGGGGATCAGTTATAGCTGCCCTCATGAGGCTCCTTCTAAGAATCAAATGAAAGAATTATTTGAAGCTGAAGTAAGAGATTACTAGAAGGATACACGTTTTCCAGAGGGTGTGGAAGATGTTCCACTGGGCTGGGAAAGAAAATTCTACACGCTAGAAATATTTTTATCCAAAAAATAGGAAGAAACTATGTTTCACTATTATTTAAGTATAAACCGATACTGCAGCCTCACTGTGTCCCTCCGTCAGAGGGTCATATGTCACAAATCACTGAGGTGCCTGGGGGATGGCAGTGGGAGGGGATAGACAGATCAGCCGCTACCCTTCCTTCCACTTCAGCATAATGCAACGTATCCTGGCTTGCATGTGTACAGTGGAGTAGATTAAAAGATAACTAAACCTACAAAGGATAACCAACAACCAAACCCACTGCCGTCGAGTTGATTCTGTCTCATAGCGACCCTATCGGACAGAGTAAAACTGCTCCATAGAGTTTCCAAGGAGTGCCCTGGTAGATTCGAACTGCTGACCTTTTGGTTAGCAGCCGTAGCACTTAACCACTATGCCACCAGGGTTTCCTACAAAGGATAGGAAGATTTAAAAGATAAAAAGCAAACACAGGAACCATAGTTGGCAAAGCAGACATTTCTCGATGTCAGAGCTTTACACAAGCCCCACCATGAAGTTAAAAACTATGGTGATATAATCAGATCTGACAAGAAACTGGCCAAAAATACTCAAAATTAAAAGAAAGACTATTTGAAATAGGGTTTTACCTCCGCTGTCATTAACAATGAATCCAGTCCTGAATGTATTTGAGATACCAGAAAACCGTAACAGTTGCTGTTAGTTGTCTACAAGTCAATTCCAAGTCACGATGACCCCATGTGTGCAGAGTAGAACTGTCCATAAGGTTTTCAAGGCTGTGACCTTTCAGAAGCAGATTGCCAGACCTGTCTTCTGAGGCACCTCCGGGCACATATATATAACTTATAAGTAACAAACACAGATATAGGGGAGTGCTAAAAGTTTTTATAACTAATGAGAAGGAGTTGAAAAAGTTTGGAAACCACTGTAAAATACAATATAAATCACTATAATTATGTTACACCATACTCATACATTACTTTTTTTTCAGTCAGGCACTAATCAATCTTCAAAACCTTAGCGAAGTTTTATTAACATAGCCCTTAAGAGTTTTAAAATAAAATATTGTAAAAAATCTGAGAAGGCAAGGATTCCCCCCCCCCCGAATTTGTGGAAAAATTCTTGTGAAGCAAAAGAAAGATTCGAGGAAAGAAGTTAGGAAACACTTCTTAAACTTCAAGACCAGTCTCTCTTTGAATATAATTTCATCAGTAACATGAAGTCTAGAAAATGACTGCAGGCTTTAAGAACATTTGGAAGCAGGGGATGCAAGTAAAATACCACTCTTAATTTTCTAAGGTAGGAGCAAAACTTTTACAAAGCCATTGTTTTTACTCTTAGAAACTTTTGAAAAAAAGTTTTTTTACAAAGCAGACAAATGACTTTTCTTTTATCCCAACTGTGGATCATATATTATTTATCATACTAGTTTATCTAAAAAAAAAAATGAATCTTTTCACTGGGTAACTTTTCTTTTTCTAAAGAAAAAATAAACAAAATAATAATAATAAAACCAAACTCACTGCGGTCGAGTCGATTCCAATTCAAGGTGACCCCATGTGTGACAGGAGAACTGACCTCCTTAGGTTTTTCTTGGCTGTAATCTTTACTGGAGCAGATCACCAGGCCCTTCTTCCATGGTGTTGTTGGGTGGGTTAAAGCCAAAGGGACCAGGACTCCCTGCCTACCACATCAGACACTTTCAGGAGGAGGGCTAGTCTTCAGGTACTATCCTGCCTTCAAGCTCCCTTTTGCTAACGGAGCCCATTACCAGAAGTTTCCTACTCTGCTCAGCACAACCTGCTTAAAGTGATGCCTGACCCTCCCAGCTGCTCCACACAGAGACAGTTTCCCAGCCTCTGCCGTTCTACCCTTCCTGCTTCTGATGCAGAAAGCCAGCTTGCGCCTTCTACAGGATGTTTGCTCCCTGGCTGGGGAAGGTACCCCTGGGCCGCACGTAGTCCTTTGTCCTCACTGCTGTTTCTGCCGTACTCCCTCAAAAAAAAGTAAATGCAAAATCTTTTCATCCCCCATCAATAACTGGACCTACAGCCAGCAATTAGAAAGCAAATGGCATTCCCTAGCTCCTCATAGCGATATTATGCAATCTGACTTCCCCCTCAATTCTCCCTTCCTCTCATCCTGGTCGTCCATTTCTGCACAAAATCAATGGAAAAAAAATGGGATAACCTCTCCATAGTAGATCAAAATGCATCGCGAAAAGCTAATCTCTTTTCTTCAAACATCCTAAGAATTCAATTTCCACCGACACCTTAAGAACTAAGTGGCCCACGAATAGAAAGTTTTAGCAAGTTACTGGTCTCTATGTACGAATAAAGTAAAATCATTCCTCCCAAAAGCATCAAGTTAATCTTTTCTAACACAAGTGGGAAGAGCTAGGACACCTTTGGAGATCCACAAGGGCAACCAAGAAATTCAGAAATACTAAAACTGCCTAAATCTGAGCTAATCTGATGGCCTCGAGCCGAACACAGTCACTCTAAGAGCTGTTAAATGTTTCATCAGACTGTTGAACATCTTAATAACCCGCCCCCAGGAATGGCCCTCAACATTTGCATAATATAGGATTGTAGGGCCTAGAGACCCCAAAACAGCCATGACAAAAGCTCAGAACAAAAAGGAATTCTCAAAACCGTGAAAGCTACACGTTTGGTTTTGCAAATTTCGAGAAAGGACTAGAGCACAGTCATGGCATTCCAAATATAATAAGGATTCTTAAATCCCGCTAAAAAGAACATTCATCAAAATAGGTAATTTTCCAATTTTGTTTACTAAAAAATCATTAAAAATATTTAACAGGGTGTGAAGTAAATGTCCATAAAATATATTATACACATACATATACATATATACATAGTGTACATACCCAGGAGACTATTTTCACGGCAGAGTAAAAGTTTTGTAGGTCCTCCAGACGGTCAAAGGTGGAAAATTCAGGTATAAGAGAGAACCTGCCAGCATCCCTACCACCTCTACGTGCTCTGGCAGCCGCGGCTCTGAGCCAGCCGCGCAGCGGAAAGACCTGGGGCAAACCTCCCGGTCACCTGCCAGGACGCAACCGCTGCCTACGTGGACACCCAAGGAGCCCGAGCCTCCCTGGAGGTGCGGGGACAGGAAGAGGATGTGAATGTGAGCGGCCCCCGGCACGGCCCGCCCTCGCATCGTGCAAATCACGCCCGCAGAACTGGGACTAGTGTGACTTTGGGGATGCACGCTTTACACTTTTGATACTGATGCGCATGACAAAAGCTCAGAACAAAAAGCAAGGACCCTGAAGAACCCAAGACTCGCCTCCACAGAGACCGGGAATCCATTGCACCGCGCCTCACAGCAGGGCCGGGGGTCCGCGCGCCCCCGCCTTGGAGGCAGCGAGCGGCGCGGGTCGCGACGGCCGCAGGCTTCTCCGTCCCACGCCCGGGGCGAAAGCTCGGACACACGGCGGGGCGGTGTCACCTCCGAGCCGAATTCGATAAAAGGGGGCAGCCCGGGCGCTAGCGGGGCGGGATCTCAGGGGACCGACCGGGGTCTCTGGGCGCGAGGCGCAGGGCCTGGGGCTGAGGAGGAGGGAGGCACGGGAAGGCGGCAAGAGAGCGAGCCGGAGGATGCGCGCCGCCTTAGTCACCTCTTTCCGCGGCTTCGCCGGCCGCTGGGCGCCGCGGAGCCTCGCTCCGAGACCGTCCCGGGCGGCTCTCCCGGCGCCGCGCCGCGCTTTCTCTCCGCTGCCGGCCTCACGCTCCGGACGGATCCGCGTCGGGCGCTCCACGCCGCGTCCAGCGCCGCCGCGTC